TGAGGGTCAATTTGCATATTACCTCTTTATTATATAGGATTTTGTTCATTAGATTCCACATATAAGTGAGATCATATGATATTTGTCTTTCTCTGACTGGCTTATTGCGTTTAGCATAATAATATTCATGGTGTTGCAAATGGTAAGAGTTCCTTCTTTCATACAGCTGCATAGTGTTCCATTGTGTAGGTGTACCGCAGCTTTTTTGTCTACTCCTTTGCTGATGGGCACTTGGGCTGTTTCAAGCTCTTGGCTATTGTATGCAGCTATGAACATAGGGGTGTACATATTCTTTCTGATTTGTGTTTGGGGATTCTTAGGATATACTCCCAGAATATATTGCTGGGTCAAAAGGCAGTTCCATTTTTAATGTTTTGAGGAAATTCCATACCATGTTTCACAGTGGCTGCACCAGCTTGCATTCCCACAAACAGTGTACTAGGGTTCCCTTTTCTCCACATCCTCGCCAGCACATGTTGTTGATTTATTGATGGTAGCCATTCTGGCAGGTGTGAGGTGACCTCATTGTAGTTTTAATTTTCATTTTCATCTCTCTGGTGATTAGTATGTTGAACATTTTTTCATATGTTTATTGGCCATCTGTACGTTTTTTCCAGATTTGTTGTTCCACTTTATGTATGCCTTCATTAATTCTTATATGTGCCCTGACTGGGACTCAAACCCGCAACCTTGGCATATTGGGACAATGCTCTAACCAACTAATCTACCTGGCCAGGACTATTCTGTCCTGAATAATCATTGAGACCATTGGCTCAGTCCCAGCAGAATGCAGGGATGAATGAAGTTGCAGGCATGGCTTTATCCAGAACTCTGATGATGTAACCAGGACCTGCATGGGTTTTCTTTCTCTATTTTTTTATCTCTGTTTTCTTAGATTAGGTTCTATTCTCAAGGAAGCTCTCCCCTCCTAGAGGCACTAAGTCTTCCAACACCACTTTGGGATACATCTTCTCTAATCTGTGTCTTGTGGAAACATACCAGTTATCCTGCAAAAGAAAAAAAAAAAAGATTCTCACTCACAAAAACCAATCCAAGGACCCCTCCCTTATTTCTCACTGTGAAATCATACACCGGACACTATGACTATGACAAGGCTGGGAAATGCTGCTTAATATGCACTTTTCATGGTCCCTACCCCATAACTGATAATAGCATCAGTCCCAACTATACATACCTAAAACGGTTTAATGAAAAAAATCCCCAAGAGAAATGAAGGTACTGTTGGGAGGGGAAGGAGGCCAATGAATGATGGTGAGTCAACACTCAAATGCCCCTCCCTATTCATATGAGAAAGCACATTGTTCACTTTAAATTATTGTATAAATACAGGGAGGAAGATGAAAGCTGAAACCCAATCAAATTTTACTAGTTGTTTTGGCAAGACAGACTGGAAGGATGGATAGAGAGGGTGGAAAGGATGAACAAAACAAGAAATACTTTAGGGGGTGCATTGATAGTGCTGGAGGACATGGATGTGGTGCATGAAGAAGAGAGGATTTCAAGTCTTGGTAAAAGAAAGAATGGAGAATAAACAGAAACCAGGCCAAGGAGAAGTCCATAAATGAATCACTTCAAGGACTCTGCACAGTTTGAGGCCTGGTTCCCAAGTCCAGAAATCATGGGGGAAAAGGGTATAAAAGGATCCAAGGGATGAATAGCCACACATTCTACTAATGAAGGGATATTCTCTGGATTGACTCTCCCTTCATTGAACAGGCTGAGAGTCTGGCTTTAAAGGCATCGCTAAGAGCCCTACGTGGACGCTTCAGTCCCCTCTGTCATGTTAGGACACTCATTGGGACCTGGAAGTATGACACACAGAGCTTATCATCTTCCCGAGTCTCTTAGGGAAATAAGAAGAAAAGCAAGAGTGAGTCCCATCAGCAGGCAGTTGGATCAGTAGATAAGGAAGGGATTGCATTTCTCCACAGAGGGTCATGCCCCCTCGGGGAACCCCAGTCCATCAGACACACTGTATCTGTGTACATAGCTGTGTGACATACTATTTTTTTCTGTTCAAAATCCTTTCCTTTAGGAGTCACTCTCCCATTCCATGCATTTCTGGAGGTGTTGATCCTTTCGTACTCAGCCCTAGGGGTGTGGCAGAGTGACCTAGAAAGTATGGCCATGTGACCTAAGCCATGAGACTCAGGTCTAGCCCGTCAGAGTTCATCTTCCAGACCACGGGGACTGTTCAAGGTGTGGCACATACCAGGGTCAGTCAGACCCTCCCCCAACTCCTTGCTACAGCCATTAGTAAAAAGTCTTCTCTTCCTTTGGGATTATTGACTGTAAAGATGGTTCCAGGTGAAGATTACTTTCTGAAATGAGAGCCAAAGAAAGGCAACTCTAACCAGGACGGAGAGGAGGGAGAGTGAAAGCCTTGATGATACTGTTAGAATGAGCAAGACGTACCTAAAACTGGAAGTCAGGTTTTTTATATAAATGAATACAGTAAGTCATTTATTTCTGTTAAAGTTAGTTTGAGTTGAATGTGAATCCTAAGTGAAATAACTTCTCTAAACCCCAATTGGAGTTAGAACCATGTTTTTATAAAATAGACCTCTTGGGCCACATGAAAATCCAGCAGTGTGGCTGGGCACCTGTTTCATTGTTCCCAAATTCTCTACGACATCCAAGAGCTGGCCTGCCGACAACATCCAAGCTCTTTAGGGGTCAACACAGCCTAGCCCAGTGGGTGCCAATTAGCCTCTTCAGTAATCCAGCACAAATTTCTCTTTATAAAGAAGTACATGCACACACATATTGTTTCTTACACATTCTATATATACAAGCAGTCTGTGTTCAACATGCTATGAATATTATTACCAAATGTAGAGCCACCAAGCTTCCTGTGGGAAGAAGACTTAATAATAATTGTTCTCATGGCATAGGAAGCTGACCAGTCAGGGCTGAGTTTCCTGGATTCAGATGTCTGGGCACGTGCAGCAGATTGCTGCAATTGGCACATGTGAAATCAGCTCATGAAGAGTCATGACAGCAGTAAAAATGTGTGAGGAGCATCTGTACTTTCTGTGGAGCACCGGGAGTCCGAGGCAGCATCACTCTCAGCTGCACTGGAGCCAGCAGCAACAGCAGGATGGGGGGAGGTTCACGTGCCTGCACAGGGTCTCTGAGGGCGTCTACAAACCCCAGAAATGAATGGGGCTCCTGACTGAATTTCAGTTTCCTCATCTGTGAAATGAGGGTTGGGACCTGACCACGCCTACATCTATAATCCCTTTTCTTCTTCTTCTTTTATATACAGAGGGAACCCAAACAGGAAAATGCTTTGATTAGTGCTTAGACATGACTGCTCTTTCCAAAAAGGAGTCAGTTAATGGTACAGCTGGAGACAACAGTGGCATGTTATTAGCATAGAGGTAAGTCAAGTTACAGTATAGCTTCTAAGACCAAATGTCTGTGACAAGGCATCCCTCATTTCCAGCATGGAAATTCTAGAAGCTTCTAGAAAGATGGAAAGATACTATTTATTTAAGCAGCAATTGATCACAAATACAGAGTCAAAGGGACATTGCATTATATCACAGTACATTTCCTTTAAATGCTGACATTGATATGCTTTACATTATCTTATAGAGTGAGCACAATCCACATGTTCTTATATTAAGGAATTTATTTTTATAGAAAAGTCAAATGTCAGACCCTCATAAGATTACATGTGGGGAATTTACAAACAGCCTTGGGGGGTGGGCGGTGCTAAAGAACTAAACTGAGCCACTATTGACACGTGGTTGTTCCTAAGGACTCATTCCACATGGCTCTCCCCACATCCTATGTTCCAAATCTCTTGACCCTCTATCTATTTCTCTTTTCTATTTGTTATTCTGTCCTTCCACTCCTTGTGCCCATTAACTCAATCTCACATCTCTCCATTCCTTTCTACGGTCTTCCCTCTCCCTCTGTCTCTCCACCCCACCATCAGCTCTAGTGTCTCCATTTGTGTGCTTCCTGTCCTACTCCTACCCTTACCATCCTGGTCTCTAGTTCCTCTTCCCTCTGCTTTTCCCATTAGCAGCCTGCTTCTGTGTCCCTGCTACATTCCCTTCGTTCACAACTAGACATTTTTGCTCCTCTTTCTTGGCATCACTCAAGCTGGTTGTGACAGAAAATGAGCTCCTGCTGTGGGATTTCTTTTCATTTGAATGTTCCACCTTAAACGCCACTTTGCTCATCTGAACACAGTTTGCCAGATTCTTCATTTTAGCCTCATTCAGGAAGAAGTCCCACTCCCAGGTCCTGTTATGCTTTAGAGAGCTCATCTGCTCTTTGAAATTCTTCAGATCCTGCTTTATCGAGGGGGAGATTTTGAAGCAGAACGTGAGCTCCAAGTTGGAGGAGCTCTCTTTTTTCGATATGTCCAATAGAAACTGCATGCTGAGGGTCATCTCCTCCCCCGCCGCCTGCTCCCTGTCACCCAGCAGCCTGTTCACCTCCCTGAGGGACTCTTCCCCCAGCTGGCTCTGGTCCTCTTTCACCAGGTAGGACATGGCGTGAAAAAACTCCTGGAAGCTGATATGGCGGAAGCTGTAGAACTTCTTGATGTCAAGCCCCTCTTGGTAATCGTGGCTGCTCAGGAAAGCAGCCAGGCTGGGCCCATCTAAGCTGTGCTTCCTGAGGTCAGCTTCTTCAAACAGGAACCTCTGGTGCTGGATCCCCTCGGCTGCCAAGGAGCACAGACCCCTCAGGACCCTGTCTCGGGTGAGCTCGGAGGGATCCTCGTTGTCACTGGGAGGCAGGAAGGTGGAGACGTAGGCCATGAAGATGTCGGTGCCACTACTGGGAGTCTCCGAGACCTCCCCGCCTCTCTCCATCCGCCCCTTCAGCCAGGAGCAGACCACCCAGCAGATGCCTGGAACCAGACATGCTTGGTAGAGAACGTCATTTCCACGTATGAAGTCAAAGGCCTTCTGGGCTTGCTCCCCATCTGTGAAATAGGACTGGACATACTTCTCCCTCTCTTCCTCAGAGAAGCCTCGGACTTGGATATGGCGCGGTTGTCTGAGCAAGGACTGCAGGTTCCGCAGAGCCAGGGGCCGCGTGGTGATGAGCAGGGAGCACGTGGGAAGTACCTCTCTCCGGATGAGCCGGCGCAGCGTGTCCTGCGCGGGGCTGGGCCCCGGCCTCTTCAGCCTCTTGGCAAAGGGCCTCTGCAGCTCGTCGTAGCCGTCCAGGATGAACAGGAGCCGCTCCGGCTGCCTCCGGATCTCCGTGACGGGCGCCTTACTGTCCCCGCAGCACCAGAGGAGGAGCTGGTCCAGCGTGCCCTCCGGCAGCAGGACCACTTCTCTGCAGCTCACGTAAAAGACATAATCAAACCGGTCTTTGTACAGCGTGCCAGTGGCCCAGTCCAGCACTATTTTTCTTGCCAGTGTTGTCTTGCCTGTGCCAGCGGGTCCCTGCAGCACCACTGTGGCTGGGCCTGGGGTGGGCATCTCCCCCGGATCAAACAGAGCCTCCACTGTGACAGAGCCCTGCTCCTGCTCAGGCTCAGGGCTTCCCGGGCTGGCAATGGCCACCAGGAGCAGCTGGTTGTAGGTGCGGCTGACTCCCTCTTCTTGTCTCTCCTCCAGGCAGCGTACGTACTCTCGGTACGTTTCTCTGTAATCTGAGCCAGACACATGGTGCATTAGGTAGTGAGATGGGAACAAAAAAAGATAAAATGGCCCTGCAAACTCTGGACACTGCTCTTTACACTCATCTTCTATGCTCTCTAACTTGTATCCCCATGAAGGTTATATATCTGGCTTCGTGGGGAGGGACCACTGTACATATATATGTACTAGAGGCCTGGTGCATGGAATTCGTGCACAGTGGGGGGAGGGGGGGGGAGGTTCCTCAGCCCGGCCTGCAATGACACCAGAGTCCCTCGCCCCTCCCCTCCCTCTGCATGGCCGGGGTGTGGATGCTGGGCTCGCATTGCCAGGGCGATGCCGCCAGCATCCCGCTCCGGCCACTATGGGCACCGCCAAGCTCGCATTGCCAGGGCGATGCCGCCAGCATCCCACTCCAGCCACTATGGGCACCGCCATCTTTGTCGCAGAGTGGCGGTTAATTTACATATTACTCTTTTATTAGATAGGATGAGTGTGTGCATGCACACATGTGCATATTAATGTGTGCGATGTTCACATGCACATCAGTGTAAGTGTGCAACAAGTGTTTAGTGTGTGAATATGTGTGGGAAGTAGTGAACACTTGTATCCATACGTGCTCATGGAAGCATGCTTATGGAAGTTTGTGTATTTTTGTGTAGGGAAGGTGTGTCAACGGGCATCAGCAAGTATGTGTTTGTAAGAATATGTGTACATGCAAAAGTCCGCGTGTATGTGAATGCATGTGCATTTGAAGTGGTGAGAAGAGAGAGGACAAAGGGAAGGGGAGCTGCAGGCTGGTGAAGCCACAGGAGGCTGTTCTAGGTAAAGGTCGGTCAGTGGCTGCAGATAAACCAGCTGCTGAGCAGGAGTGTGGCTCTGAGTCTCTGGAAACTCCCATGTCTGGGCACAGGTGCTCTCGGGCATGAAAGGAGCCTGTGGAGGGAGCACTGGCACCACAGACACTCCCTTGTCTCCAGGAGAAGGGACAGGAGGCCACTTGGGCTCCATGCCACCCCACTCTCCAGGGCACCGTCGCCCACCAGTTCCCTGGAAGAGCCAGGCACAGGAGCAGGCTGTCCTCTCTGCTGCCTGCGGGAGAGCAGCCAGGGAGAGGACTGACCCACGCCCAGATGCCATTACTCTGGTTAGCGGGAAACCCTTTGCCAACACCTCCCCCAGTCTCCAAGCCCCTTTCTCTACTCTCTCCCTCTCTGGCACCACAACTGGAGATAGTGGCTATAAGATCCCCTAATCTTTCTATAAATAAACCCCACCCTCGGCTACCACCCTTCATCCCACAGTCATGAATCTTTAGCTGGAGACCACTAGGGCCATTAGGACCCTCAGGCACAGGGGCTCCCAGGCATCACAGGGCAAGAGTGAAAGAAGACCTAAGAAATGTTTTAGAAATGTCATGGGGGAGGGGGAGTCCAGTGCCACCCTGACCTCCCCTTGTCCTCTGCTGTACTCACCATTTAGACAGATGTGGCTGAGCTGGTCCACAAGTTCTAACAGGTTCATGACCTGCAGCACCTTGCACACCATTTTCACAGCCTCCTGCGCTCCGTACCTCAAAATCAGCCGAGAAGCCAGGTCCACCCGACTCAGGCCCTCCAGCTCCCCTCGGGCCAGCCCCTGGCCCCCAAGCAGGGTTCTGTCCCATAAGTGGAACTTTAATATCTTGAAGTCATTTTCATCAAGGTCACTCAAGGCCAAAAGCAATGCCTCCTGTGGGTTGCTGGTCAGGGCCAGGGCCATGGTACTTGGTGTGAAGGGTCAAGTTCAGACCTGTGACCTGGAGAAGAGGGGAGAGAAAAAAAGGGGAGTGCACTGCTGAGGGAAGAGCAGCCGAAGGCGCCTCAGTCTGCCCTGCTTTCTGGGTGCTCGGCAAGCCACGGAGCACAGCCCGGGAGATGGAGAGGCATGCCAAGTTCCAAGAAAGGCAGGGCGATTCCCTGCATGCCTCTTCGTCATTGTGTGGCAAGTAGAAGTAAGGTGTGTAGGTGTGTGGATGTTGGGGGCCAGATGTAAGCTGGCAAGGTCCTTGCACCTGAAGGGGCTAGCAAGGCTGGGACCCTTACCCACACAGTTTTCCCAGACTTGTTTGGATGGCGGTTATCAGTAGAATAAGAGCAACCTTTGTAGAATGAGAACAGCCTTTCATGGCTTACCAAGAAGTCTGTAACTATTTACTGAGATATGCTGTACCAAGAACTTGTCCTTCTGTTGTGTCCCTCCCTTAGAAATTAAGAGGAACAAAGAATACATTCCTCTTGACAGACCTCCTATTCAGTGTCTTGTGTATAAATAGGATTGTGTGGCTAATAAACTTGCTTCAGTTCCTCGAGAGCTGTAGTCCTCCCGACCCCACTTTCCTGTCTTTCTTTCTTTTCTCAATTCCCACCTCTCTGCCTCATCCCGGCTCAACCTGTCAGGTTGGCCCTGACATGTGGATCTCTATCTGTCTCTCTATCTCTCCCCTCCCTTCTTCCTCCCTCTCACACACAGTTTATCAGGCCCTGTATGCCTCCTTAGACAGTCAGGGTTAAGAAAACAATTTTATTTTTCTGGGACTGCAGAGATATGGCAAGAAGGTAAAAGGTAAAAAACAAAAACAAAAAAACTATACTGTCCTAGCTGGTTTGGCTTAGTAGATAGAGCGTCAGCCTGCAGACCGAAGGGTCCCAGGTTCAAGTCCAGTCAGGGGCACATGCCCAGGTTTCAAGCTTGATCTTCAGTTGGGGGTGTGCAGGAGGCAACCAATCAATGATTCTCTCTCATCATTGATGTTTCTATCTCTCCCTCTCCCTTCCTCTCTGAAATAGATTAAAAAATATTTTTTTAAAGTACAAATTTAAAAAAAAACAATCTATACTCATCAACCCATTGGCCTTACACATCAGCCTCATGGACTCAGTAACACAGGATTTCAAAGCAGGAAGTCTTGTCATTCAGATAAGGAGATAAGTTTAAACCATGATACAAAAGAAATGGCTGCTTTGAGGGCCCACTTTGTGCTGGATGATTAATATATATTATCCCTTTGACCATCATGTAAACTGTCTTGGGGATCCCTCCAGATGAGAAATTTTCAGAATTTTCTGGAGCTAGACCAGTGGGTATAGAGGCAAGATTTAAGTTCTGGTCCATGACCTGGGCAGATAAAAAAAAGAGATGAAAACACAAAGACACAGTAGACGGGCACAGAAACCAGGTAGTTAGGCTAACTGCTACCCGAACCTGGAGGGAGATGTAGAGATGAAAGCAGCAGAGAAAGGAGAGTGGGGTCTTACGTTGTATTTGACACAGAGAACGAAAATGTGGGCAGGGTGCCAGTCCTCAGAAGAAGAAAACCAACGATCGATAGAAAACTTTCCAAGTTCAGAATTATGTCTGTGATCTAAAGCCAGTGGGGAAGCCATCTCGGTAGTAAAATGTCTGAGAGTGAGCAAAAGGTATTTGGAAACCAGGAAAGTGGTTTAGCTTCCAATATCAGCATTTTGAGTACATACCAAAAGAAGAGAGAAAATTGTAGGACTCTGTTAGGATACAACTTTGGCTGCAAGTCACAGGGCAATTGGGAAACGCAGGAGCAATTTGCAATTAAGCCTCAGGCTCCCCTGCAAATCTCTGCAGTGGGCAGCCCGGAAAGAACAAAAGACAACACTGGACCCCTCCAGGCTGTTCAGTCACTGGAGGCTGGGAGAGCGGGAAGTGAGCCCCCCCGACAGTGAGCTCCAAGCAAGGTCGTGGGAACTGACTGAAACAGATCCCCTTTCTGATCAGACAGCTTCCCACGCCAGGCCTGGTCCACTAGCCCAAGCTCACTGGTTCACTTCTGCCTGGTGAGGCTGGTGTTAAAGGGCTGGGTGTGAACACCCGGACACCTAGCCTATGAAACAAACTCACCAGGCCCTGTGGGCTGGACCCGGTGAAGAAAGACAAACACCTACACATTCCACCTGACCTCACCAGCAGAGAACTTGCCCTCATTCTTCAATATATTACAGTTGAGAAACAAGGCAGGGGCTGAAGAAAACTTCTGTCAGCAACAGAAAATGATGCCCCATCTCCCTCTGAACCCCAACCCTCCTCTGTAACGTGACTCCAGGCCAGGCTGGGGCAGTCTGACAGAGAAACAAAGGAATCGGGGTGCTGTCACCACCACCTCCTTGGCCGTGGCACCCTCTGTTTCAGTTGTTGAAACCACTGGATGACATGCTCACATCCACCAAAGTGAAAAAGGCGGAAGCCTGGAGCTTCATGAAGCAGAAACCCAAACAAGGAGCAAAACCAAGGCCTGGAAGGCAGCTGGTCAGAGGGCCTGGGCAGCTGATGGCCCAGGAAGCCCTGACAGAGCAGGATGGGTTCTGATAAGTACTCTCCAAGGGGAAAAGGATGGATGGAGAGGTTTACTGGTGCCACTGGCCTTCAAAAGCATTCTACTGAGGGGCCATTAGAAGGTATGAGCAAAGCTAACCACAAATACCAGGAGATTTACACAAAGGTGAAACAAGGAGACTACTAGCTCTAGAAAAAAAAAACAAAGGAAAAACAAAAGAGGAAGTCAGATTTTACATAATAGTAAATTACAACACTCAAGTGTAAATAACATTTGCATAGAAATAATAACATAGCCACTGAACACTGATCTAACTAATATAACCACACTGTATACTATAACCACACTGGAAGGGTAATCATGTCTGGTGGTCCCTGTATTCTCCGTAAAAGATGAGTAAGAGCATCCCCTAAGCATGAGAGGGCTAGGTAAGGAGGTGACTGCTGGGAGCCTCTCTTTCGTGCACCTTTCCTCTGCCTCCGAGCTTCCCATGCCCATTGCTCGGGGAGTCCTCTCAGAGTCCGGGAGAACAGGTAGGAATAGGAGTTGGTCTCTCCCAGAGCCTAACCCAAGCTGAGGCTAGAGACAGAAACATTACAGCAAAGAGCCAAGCCCAAGAAACCAAGATGGGAAAATACAGTGAAACACAGCCTCATGGATCCTGTGACAGAAGAGAAGAGTGAGGCCACTTACTGTGAAGGCTCTCGGGTCCGGGTCGGGTCTGCCCCCCCTAGAAGGCTCCAGGCCTGGAGATCACTGGTCTGGGGACTGAGAGACACACCTGAAGGAAGTAGAAATGAGATGCAAAAGGACCCATTTTAATTGGAGGGTGGAGGCAGGAAATGAAATGAGATCTCCCTCCCTGTTAACCCTGGCCTGGCTGTGGGCAGAACTGACAACTGGTACAGTTGAAGCCCAAAAAGGGAAGGGATGGAGACAACAGAGACAGAGACCAAAGGTAGAAACAGTCAAAAGAGAGACAAAGAGGCACAAGAGAGAAATGAGCAGACGAAACAGAGAAACATAAAATTAGCTGATGGGTACAGCGCTCTCAGAGACAACAGAGACAGAGACCAAGGGTGGAAACAGTCACAAGAGAGACTAAGAGGCACAAGAGAGAAATGAGCAGAAGAAACAGAAGGTCAAAGCAGACGAAACAGAGAGAGAAACATAAAATTAGCTGATGGGTACAGCGCTCTCGCTCCTCCTCCTCCTCCTCCTCCTCCTCCTCCTCCTCTATCTCCTTCTCCTTCTCCCCCTCTCCCCCCTTGCCCTTTCCTCCCTTCCTCCCTCTCATCATTCTATAAATAGAGTTCAGCCTACCTGGATACCTCAGTCAGCCACTGAAAAGCCAACATCCTGGATATGTGCACCCCTTTGTTCTGGCCAGTCAGTATCCCTGGGAAGGCCATACCAATGCCCTCTCTCCTCCTGCCCCTGAACTATGTGGCTGGAGAAAATTGTAAAACTTGACCAGATCCTTGAAGTCTTTGGGCTCCCCTGGGTCCTCCCATAATTGATCCATCAATGCCTTTGATAGCTCGCTCTCTGCCCTTCTTCCATTGCCCCAAGGCTGAACCCCAGCCTTGCATTGCCATTCTCTGCAGATCACCTCGCCTCCAATTCCCTCAGAAAAACATCACTTGACAGGAGCTCCTACAACTTCCCTTCTCTCTCCAAAGTGTCTCCGATTCTTCATCCTTCTCTTTATCCTTTCTTACCAAAGAGAAATATCTTTAGTTCTTGGTGATGAAGGGTCCACATCCAACTCAAATCAGCATATGAGTAGGAGGTCCCAAAGGTTGTGCATGGTCATTAGGGGCAGCAACACCTCTTCTTTGGGGGTGGTTCTCTCCTCTGGACTTCTCGCTATGGAAGGATCTCAGGGCGCCAGCTGGGCTGAGGCAGACCCCCACCAGGAACCCATAAGGGAGGCCACAGCCCAGGGCAGCCTCTCTAGCATCTTCCTCATCCTGCCCAAGACCATCCTCTCAGCTAGGCTTCTCCATTCCTGCCTTGTTTAATTACATAGCTCCCCTTACTCACACTTGTATATTCTATTTTTCTCCTCTAGACCCTGACCCTTAGTTTAAAATATACTCAAAGCTCTTCCAGCCTAAATTGTCCCCCTCTCAGTCCTGATGTTCCCCTAGCTACTGCCTTTAATGTCTTTTCTCCTTCCCAGCAACTTCCTTGAGAGTAGCCAACACTCAACACCATCAATTCAAACTGACCATTCTTTCACATCTGAATTCTGATTTCCATGTGCTCCTCCCCACACCCCAATTCCACTGACAGTGCTGTACTAGGGTTGCTGAAGATCCAGGTCATCAAATCCAATTCTTCTCTAATAGACTGCATACCTGTGTTTGGGGGGATTTAAAGAATAATGCATGTCTACACAGAGCACTGACAGGGGAGCAGGATTGTGTCGATTCTCATTATAGTAGGCGCTCCAAGGAGGAAGCAGTTCTTGGGCATAAGAAGCCCAAACTCCTTCGCCCAACTTGACAGCTGAATGCTGAGACTTGACCTAATTAAGGGAGATGACAGATTTCCTGTCATCCAGGTGTTATCACCCCCATTATACCAAGAAAAAAGGCGAGGCTCAGAAGAGTTACCTATATATAGATTGCCCAAAGTTACACAGTGCCCGTTAGCATCAGAGCTCTTTTCGTCACATAGTAATGGTAATAGCTACCACTTAATAATAACTGCTGTAATCAGGCACATGCTAAGAGATTTAGAGAGCATTATTCGCTTAATCCTCTCCCAAAGTACAGACTAGAATCTCCACTGACCACTCCACAATGCTGCTGGGATGTCTAATGGACATTTCAGTGGTGACACATCCAAAAATGGTCTTTTCCCAGAAACCTGCTCCACTTGTAGCTTTCACTATCAGTCAGACAACTTTGTTACTAGTTGCTCAGCACACAAAAGCTGGAGTCATCTTTTTCACACTTATACAGTTTCTCAGAAAATCTTCTTAGAAAAAAGAGAAAGAAAGAAAGAAAAGAGAACATCCTCTTGTCTCCACCCTCAAAATATACCCGAAATCTGCTCACCTCTCACCACTTGTACTGCTACTAGTTTGGTGCCAACCACCATCATCCCTCACTTAGATTACCTGGTATGCTCCTACCACATCTCTCTGCTCTTTCTCTCTCACCTGCCTCTCCCCCATCATATTCTTCTCAACACAGCCAGAGTGATCCTTTTAAAACAAGGCAGATCATGACCCTCCCCTGCTCAAAACTCAGGAATGGTTCCCCATCTCACTCAGATGAAAAGTCAGAGCCTCACCACAGCCTAACAGTGATGGCGAACCTTTTGAGCTCGGCGTGTCAGCATTTTGAAAAACCCTAACTTAATTCTGGTGCCGTGTCACATATAGAAATTTTTTGATATTTGCAACCATAGTAAAACAAAGACTTATATTTTTGATATTTATTTTATATATTTAAATGCCATTTAACAAAGAAAAATCAACCAAAAAAAATGAGTTCGCGTGTCACCTCTGACAAGCGTCAACCCCTCTTTAGAGGTGCCTCTCCTGCTACTCCCTGCCTTCACCTTAACACTCCAGCCATGAAATCGACTCCTCATACACACCAGGCCTGCTCTTGCCTGAAGGCCTTTGCATCAGCCGTCCCCTCTACCTGGAGGCTCTTCCTCCCCACCCCTGCCCCCCATGGGCACCTCCCTCGCCTTTTTCAAGTTCACTCAAATCTCACATTCTCATTGTGACCTAACTTTTCACAACTCCTGATTCCCCCTTACTCTCTGCTACTTTCTTCTTTTTTAGCACATTACTTTTTTTTTAAATCCTCACCCAAGGATATTTTTCCATTGATTTTTAGAGAGAGTGGAAGGGAGGGGGAGGGACAGAGAGAGAAAAAGATCAATGTGAGAGAGAGAAACATCAATGTGAGAGAGACACAAGGGAGGTACATGACCTTGACCGAATCGAACCTTTCAGTTCTCTGGCCGACACTCTATCCACTGAACCAAACCTGCTAAGGCAGCGCATCAGTTTCTAACATTATATAATGTACTTATTGTTCACTACCCTCCAGAATGTAAACTTCTCAGAGAAAACGATCTTTGTTTTGTTCACTGATATATGCCAAGTGCCTTAAAAAAAAGTCTGGCACATAGTCAATTTGTTGAATGAATAAACCTGATGACAGATTTACACCTTATGACTGTCAAAAACAACGCCCTTTGTAATAAAAGGCACTTTGACAGCCCTTATCCCATTGAAGTCTGAAACAGGATTTGCGAGCCTTGCGCAGCTCTCTGCCTCCATCTGGCGGCAACTGTCAGACTGAATTGTTTCTCTTCCAGCGCAGTCACAAGTTTGTTCGGAACTATTCGACTCGGCTCTCACTGAGTGCGCATCGGACAGAGATCCAAGAGCACGAGCTCCGAGCAGGAAATTGCAGTGCCGTGAGAACCATCATCAGTAACCAATAGGAACAGCGGTCTTGGTCACGCGGTGCGCGCTCAGCCTATGGGGCTGTCAATGCCGGCCCGCTTCCTCCCTTCCGCTCCACGCTCCTTCTCTCTCGACAAGATGGCCACACCGGC